AAGTGATTCACCAGGATGTTATCACAGTTGAAGCATTGTAAATATGAAGTGGAGGTAATGGCCTAGTGGTATGATCGCTGGACTGTTAATCCAGAGAGCCATACAATGTTCTGGGGACCTGGGTTTGAATCAAACAGGAAAGAAAAAAGACTTTGGAATTAAGAGTCTAACGTTGACCATGAATCCACTGCCAGTTGTTGGAAAAACCCACCCTGTTCACCAGTGACCTTTAGGAAAGGAAACTACCATCCTTACGTGGTCTGGCCTACATGTACCTCCAGACCCACAGCAATGTGGTTGATTCTTAACTGCCCTCTGGGCAATTAGGGATGGGCAATAAATGCTGGCCTAGACAGTGATGCCCTCATCCTGTGAATGAATAAAAAAAGGCCGTTGCTTTCAGGTTGGCAACCTGTAACCAGTGGGGTTCCACAGGCATCAGTGCTGAGACCACATCTGTTTTCAACATATATTCATGACTCAGATGAAGGAAGCAAATCTACTGTAGCCAGATTTGCAGACGATACAAGGTAAATGGAAAGGCAAATTGCAAGACGGATAAAGTTTATAGACAGATTTTGTTAAGTAAATGGGTGAGAAGTTGGTAAAAGGAGCATAATGTTGGGAAAATGGAAGGGTGAACAAAAGAACAGTATTATTTAAAAGGAAAAACACTGAATAAACTGTAACAAAAAGGGACTTCAGGGGACTTGTGCACAAAACACAAAGCTAGCACACAGTTGCAACAAGTAATCAGGAAGGCTAATGGAACGTGAACTCTTATTTCAAAAGAGTGGAGAAGTCTCACTACAATTGTAGAAACTGGAATTAGGAGTCTAATGATGACCATGAATCCATTGTCAATTGTCAGAAAAACCCATCTGATTCCCTAATGTCCCGTAGAGAAGAAAACTGCCATCCTTGGTCTGGTCTACATTCGACTCCAGACCCACAGGAATGGGGTTAACTCTTAACTGCCCTCTGGATAGGCAATAAATACCCATCATGGACAATAAATGCCAGTGAATGAATAAAAATAAAGGCACTGGTGAGACCACACGTAGAGTACCATAAGCAGTTTTGTTTTCCTTATTGAAGGAAAGATCTTATTGCATTTGAAGCAGCTCAGAGGGTCCATAAGATGATCCCTGGTATACAGGGATTGTCTTACGAACAAAGGCTAAACAGTTTGGGACTCTACTCAATGGAGTTTAGAAGAATGATAGGTGATTTCACTAAAATATATAGGATTCTGAAAGAGCTTGACAGGGTAAATGCTGAGAGGATGTTTCCCCTCGTGGGAGAGTCTGTACGCATACTTTCAGGAAAAAGCGACACCAATTAAAGACTGAAATAAAGAGAAATTTCTTCTGAGGATGCAGTGTCTCTGGAACTTGCCACAGAGAGAAGAGGGGGCAGAGTCCCGTGTATATTTAAGGCTGAGATAGATAGATTCTTGATCAGTCAGGAATCAAAGGTCTTTTCTCTCGGCCTCGTCCTCAGCCTCCCTGCCTCAGCACGGAGTTGGACTTGGCCTCAGAGCAGATCCGGCATGGAGTCCTCCTGGCCCAGTGTGACCTCAGCTGTATTTTGGGTCACGAGGTGATTCCAGAGCAGGCTCCTGGCCTCGAGAACCTCAAGGTGAAGCCTGCATGGTCTGAAGTCTAGACCCACTGCAGACTGGAGGCTAGGACTGGGTTAGAAGGTCCATTGTTCTGAACTTTATATTTCTCTATTTTCTAATTTATTCCTGCAATTTTTAATGCTGGCCTTTTTATTTCTTTAGTTTCTAATCTTTTTTTCCTACGAACTTGGACTGAAAAATCTGTACCTAGGTACCTTTGTAGATAAGATGGCGCTATAAGTGGCGGTGTAAACTTTTCACTGTACTCATACGAGTATGTGACAACAAAGCTAATTTGAATTTGAACTCGAAATGGCAGGAAAGTGGACATGAGGAATGCCTGATCAGCCACGATCCCAGTGGAGCAGCTTGAAGGATGGAAGAACCTTGTCTTGTCACTATTTCTTATGGTCTTTGGAGCAGAGAAGGCTAGCGGGAGAGCTGATTGAGGTGTATAGGACTACGTGAGTCATGGACAGGGTGAATAGGAAGCAGCCATTTTCCCCGTATGTGAAGGGTTAAGAATGAGAAGCACAATTTTAAGGTGAAGGGCAGGAGGTTTAGAGTGGATTTGAAGAAAGCGCATCCACCGAGGCATTGTGGGAATCTGGAATGCCCTAGCTGGGAAGAAATCTCAACCTTTTGAAAGTACATGGATGAGCACTTAAAATGTCCTAAGATTCAAGGCTCTGGGTCAAGTGCAGGAAAGTGGGATTAGTGCAGACAGGGCAGCACAGATGTGGTGGACCACAGGGTCTCTGCTGTACTGTTTGGTCAGTTGCAGGACCATAATGAGTTAAAGGAAAAGTTGCTCAAAAAGTGAGAAGGAGCTCAACCAGGTGGAGGGTGCTGATAGAGAAGAACTGAGCAGGCCTCTTTTTAACAAGGAAGTAGACCACCTTGATGGAGAATAGATGTGTAGCAGGATTGCAACATCCATGGTGAAGAGATGGCCAGGGCCAGAAAACTGGGAATTGTGGAACTGATGTAAAGTTTTCTTTATTCACTCGTGGTACGTGGGCATCACTGGCTGGCCAGCATTTACTGCCGATCCCCAGCTGCCCTTGAGATGATTGTCATGAGCCTCAATCTTAATGTGCTGCAGTCCACCAGCTGTAGGTTGACCTACAATGCCAGTAGGGAGGGAATTCCAGGATTCTGACCCAGCGACAGTGATATACTCCCAAGTCAGGATGGTGAGTGGCTTGGAGAGGAACTTGCAGGGGGTGGAGATCTCATCTATCTGCTGCCCTTGTCCTTCTAAAGGAAAGTGGTCGTGGGTTTGGAAGGTGCTGTCTGAGGATCTTTGGTGAGTTTCTGCAGTGCATCTTGTAGATAGTACACACTGCTGCTACTGAGTGTTGGTAGTGGAAGGAGTAGCTGCTTGTCAATGTGGTGCCAATCAAGCGGGCTGCTTTGTTCTGGATGGTGTCAAGCTTTGTGAACGTTGTTGGAGCTGCACTCATCCAGGCAAGTGGGGAGTATTCCATCACGGTCCTGACTTGTGCCTTGTAGATGGTAGGCAGGCTTTGGGGAGTCAGGAGGGGAGTTACTCACTTCAGTATTCTTAGCTTCTGACCTGCTCTTGTAGCCAATGTGTTTATGTGGTGAATACAGTTAAGTTTCTGGTCAATGATAAGCCCCAAGATGGTAACAATGGGGGATTCAGTGAAGGAAACACTGGTGAATGCCATGGGGCAGTGGTTAGATTAGTCTGTTCGGATTGACCCTCCTCTGCAACAGCGTAAAGACCATCATTTTCCAGCCCCTTTCAGTTTTGAAGAGTCATATCAGGCCCAAAACATTAACTCTGTTTCTCTTCCCATATATGCTGCCAGATCAGACGTTCTCCAACACTTTTTAAATTTGGATGTCCAGTATCCACAGTATTCTCCTTTTCAGTGTTCAATTTCTTACTTTTATATTCAACGCCCCTTGCAATAAAATTCAGCATTCCATATGCGGTACCAAATTCTTGCCCGATAACTTTTGTGATTTACATACAAAGACACCCAAATCATACTGCTCTGCAACATTCTGGAGTCTTTCTCTACTTCAGTATTATTCCGATTTTCCATTCTTCCTTCCCAAGTGGATAGCATACATTTTTCTACCTTATATGCCAACAGCAAAATTTTTGGCCTTTCGCAACTTATCAGCATCCCTTTGCAGGTTCCTTATGTACTAGGAACATTAATAAGCCATCCGGCATGAACATGGTTACACTCCTGTTGTCACAACTTGCTTTCCTACCTATCTCCATCATCAGCACATTTGGCTGCACTACAGTCTGCTCCTTCATCCCACATCATTAACATACATTGTAAATAGTCAAGTGCACAGCACCAATCCTTGTGACACTCCACAGCCAATTTGCTAATCTGAAAGTTACACACTTATTTCCATTCTGTTTCCTGTTAAGTTAAACAATCCTCTGTCCATGTTAATATATAACCACCCAACATCCCGAGTTCCTACCTTGTACAGTAACCTTTTATGCAGCACCTTATCAAATGCCTTTTGCAAATCCAAACACACTTCATCTGCTGGCTTGCCTTTACCCAACCTGCGTGTTACATCCTCAAAGAACTAATACATTCGTCATACACAATTTTCCTTTCACAGAAAATGTTGACTCAGACTGACTGTATTATGCTTTGCTAAATGTCCTTTCTTATTCTTTACTGCTGTGGGCGTGGAGTCACATGTAGGCTAGACCAGGTAGGGATGGCAGTTTCCTTCCCTAAAGGACGTTAGTGAATCAGATGGGTTCTTCCAACAGTCAACAAAGGATTCATGGTCATCATTAGATTCTTAATTCCAGATATTTTATTGAATTCAAATTCTACCATCTGCCATGGCAGGATTCAAACCTGGGTCCCCAGAACACTATCTGGGTCTCTGGATTAACAGTTCAGTGATAATACCACTGGGCCATCGCCTTCCCATTTCCATAATAACGTATTGTCGAACATTCCCTGCCAGAGGTCAGTCTTAATCTACCCAATAAACATCTTTACACACTTTAAACACCTTGAACGTCCCTTGAATTCCTACAATTGCAGGAATACATACCTGCTCTATGGTCCTTTGTTATTTAAGCTTTTAGTAGCCAAAGTCATTCTGGTGAACCTACACTGCTCCCCTTCCAAGACCACAATCTCCTTCCTGAGGTGTGAGGCTCAGATGGAACCTAGTTACACCAGATAGGATTTGACCAGAATTTCATGCAACTAGAATGTCATTCCAATCCTTTTTTATTCTAAGTCCTGACATTATGGGCAATATTCCATGAATGTTTTGATTATTTTGGGTACCTTTGTACTAGCTTCTAGCAATTTCTGTTTCTCCCTTATGGGAGCAGCCAGTGACTTACTCTTCCTGTCCCTCTGTCGGTGCTGGGTGCCACCCTTCATGCTGTAGTCCAGCTTCATCAATACAGGCTCCAGCCCCGTGTACATTTTCTGAATAAGTTCATGGTAAACCACCAAAGGCCACAGAAGCAGGCTCAGTACTAGAACAACAACAACAACAACAACATAGTTAGTACAGGACATGACCACACTCCCCAGCAACATCACCTCAAGCTATGCCCAACTCCGTGCTGTCCCTGTCTCAGGAGTGCTTGATGGCAATAATGCAGAGAGAGTTTTAACGCTGACAGTATGGGTCAGATACACTGCCCTGGGAATTTTTAATTTAGACAGTGCCTGTAACAGAAATTCAATTTTGTAATACTGTTACCCAACAAGCACAAATTATGATATTGAGATGCAAGTCAAATTAGTTGCTGAGTCAGAGATTCTGCTCCAATCAGTTGGCTATTTTGATTCAGCTCTGAAGAGTCATCTAGACTTGAAACATTAGCTTGCTCTCTCTTTGTGGATGCTGCCTGATCCACCGTGATCTCCCGCATTTGTTAGTTTCAGGCTATTTTGATTTCATGTGTTTATTCCCAGTTTTACACACATGCCTCTAAATGACAGCTTTATTCACTTTCTTTCATTGATAGTACGCTCATTGTTTTATTAGGTTAAGGATTTACAGGTGGAAGGTACACATTGATTCAGTGTCTTGAGCAAATTCTCACTTTCTTGGCGTCTGTTAGCATGTTGGAGGTCTTCAGCAGGGGCCCTGCAGGACCCAGACAGCACGATTACTGTCTAACATAACACTCTTATTTGAACTTTGTTAATTTACATTTTGTACATTTGATTGCTGCAAGTACTCATTTAAATGTCTTTAATCTGTCTAACTTGGTTAAATTTGATTAAGAAAGTGGCTTTAAATGAACTTTCCACCACCATCTTACTGGGGATGTTAATGGCACAGTGATAGTGTCCTGCCTCTGAGCCAGAAGGTCCAGGTTCAATTCTAACCTGCCACAGACGCTTATCCAAACATGCTTGAACACTGATTCAAAATAATATTCCTCACCATTACCATGCTAAGGAACTTGTGGCACACCTATAAAAGCCCAGAACATTCAGGTTCATGTCCTACTTGCCCCATGTATCACAACATGTACAAATAGGATAACTTTTTAAAAATTGGAAATAAAGATTTCTGGGACACTGGCAGCTGGTTAGGGAGGAGGCAGGTCATTTACAATGTTGTAGACTATAAATAAATCCAACATTAAAAGGATGGCATCCAGATTTGTATTTCACTATCTGGCTTCAAAACGAATTCACAGTACCACAGAAAGAATTATCAAAAGATGCAGTTTGAAGACAGTAATCTGTTACTTTTCAGAAGAATGCTTGTGCAAGCATAAGTTATCCAGGTATGATTATATACTGATGGAGCAGACTACAGGGGCCAAATGATCTACTTTTGCTCTTATTTGTGTTCTCAGAATCTTACGTCAAGAGATAGAACGATGTGGATGTGTGGTCATGGCTTACGTTCCTACATTAGAGAAAACAAGTCGTCATCTTGGTATTGCTGTTTTCTAACAATCATGCACATGGTGATAAAGCATCTGACTGTGAGACAGAGATATCCTGTAGTAGTAATCCAGAAAGACAAGTGCAAATAGAGGGTGCAGCTTGACTAAACTACATAATAGATCAAAGACTACAGATCAAGCTGGAAACATTACAATAAGTAGAAATTCTTATGACAAGGAAATTTTTGTGGCTGCCAACAAATGAGACAATATTTTGTTCTCATGAAAGATGAAATTTAGATGTGAGCATCATTGACATGGCCAGCATTTCTTGTCCCTCCCCACATGCCCTTGAACTGAGTGGCTTACTGGGCCATTTCAAAGGGGACTTAGGAGTCAACTGGTGTGGGTCTAGACTCTCATTCCAACCATTAACAACAGAAGACAGAACAAAGGTTTAATAGTTGGAAAGAATTTGGTGTCTGCACGAAAGACCCTGACAGGGGACAGACAGCATCATCATCACACAATATGTTGTTGCGAAGTTGTGTACAGTACTTCTGGATTGCAAGGTAGGATGGTATAATTTCAAGTTTGTAAAATGATTTTGGTGGTGGTGGTGGGGGGGGGTGCATGGTCCCTTTAAAAGATGATGTGCTTGTTGTGGTTGGTTGGCTTGCCGAGCTGGTTCCTTGTTCCGTAGATGTTTCATTACCCTGCTGGGTAACACCATCAGTACAGTACACAACCCAAGCTCCAAATCTACTCTAAAACCTTAGAGATGATGTGCTTTTTCGAGGTTTGGAGAGAGAAAATTAAAATGCATCTGTGGGCACCTTGTGGGTTTGCAGATGCATAGACCATCTGAATTGTAACATTTGTATCAAAGGATGTACAGTTAGCAGTCCAAGCCACAGTTTTGTTTTGTTATCAAGACAAGTTTGAATTTAGCCAATTAATTTAAACCAGGCACCAGAGACCAAAAACCAATTAAGTTTAAATCTAAACATTTTGACAACATAGGACCAATCCTATTGTAAGGAATTGATATGTCATCAAGGATATAAAACAAAAGATGGCATTTGTGAAATTGGCAGATAGCAAACTGCCATCAGCCCTAAAGAAAGATTCATTGGCTCTCTCAGAATTCTCTAAGCCTCAGGGTAAGCATCATTGAAAAAAGATACCAGGATATTCTTAGCTATTATTCCTGACAAAAGAACTTGACAGAGGCACTCCAGACAAAAGAATTCGATGGAGAAGGCGTTCCTGACGGAAGATCAACGGAGAAGGCACAGAACATTCTGGAAGACTGGCTGTTTTTATTTTTGTTTATATAAGTGGGACTTGTATTCATTGAAACAGCGTACCATTAGAATTGTTACTTGTTGATTATAGAGTAGGGGTGTCAGGAGTTTAACTCATTTAACCACTCTTTTATAACAGACTGGGGGCAAGAGGCAGGTTATACCACTTTTCACACCTCTTTTAACAGATTCTAGGGAGAAGCGAGCCTCTCTGGGTGTTTCAGTTTTAATTTCCGGGGAGGAGGGGACCGGGGTAGGGGGGTTGTGGTTGACCTCCGCTCTATAACAGATTGGAGACGAATACGCATTAGTGCATAAATTGAAAACTGGCCTCCGACAGCAATTTCATTCAATGAGGAAAAGAAATTGGGAAAGAGGGAGATCCTTCAATGAAAAACAAAAAGTAGATCACACTGGGAACCATTTACCACGTGAAAAAAGAATCCCAAGAAGGTGGAAAAGAGGTGAAAGACCTCAGGTGTTTTCACTGCAGTAAGGTGGGACACACAGTCATAGTGCCGGTGGTTTAAGAAAGGCACTGGGAAAAAGGATGTGGTAAAAGAGGCTAAACCAGTGGGATTCGTTGAGATAGTGAAGGAAATCTCAAGAGAAGTCAAGAAGGTGCAGGAGAGTGCACAACCCAATCATGGCCTGGAAATTAAGATAGCGCCTGATCTCTTCAAAGACTTCATCTGTGGGGGTAAAGTTCACTTATGTAGAACAGAGGAGTAAGTAAAGAATTTAAAGTATTAAGCCACACAGGAACTGGTCAGTTTCTAATAGTAAGAGATGAATGTATTTGCATTCCTTCTGAAATGTTGTCTGAGAAAGTGGTAATCTGTGGAATAAATGGAGAGCAAATTAGTGGTCCCCCGTGTAAGATCAGGCTAGAAAGTCCAATCAAGACTGGGGAAGTGGCAGTGGGAGTGATTGATAGAGTGTCTATTCTAGAAATAAGAGTTTGTTCTTGGAAATGACCTAGCCAGATCAAAGGTGGGAGTGATGCCCATTGTAGTGGAAAAGCCAAAAGAAAACCAGGGAATTGAGGACTTAAAGGAAAAAACCCTGGAGTTTTTCTGGACTGTGGGGTGACAATATCCCACAGACATAAGTTAAAACAGGAGGGAAAAATAAAAGGAGAAAGATGAAGGAGTTGAGGTCCAGTTAGCTGACACTCTGAAGAAATGATAAAAGGAAAAACTTAAGCAGGTAGAAGATCAGGCAGAGATAGTAGGAACTGCAGATGCTGGAGAATGGTATCAATGTGGATTTCAAAGTTTCAAAATCTCCCCTCCCCCTACCGCATCCCAAAACCAGTCCAGCTCGTCCCCTACCTCCCTAACCTGTTCTTCCTCCCACCTCAAGCCGCACCTCCATCTCCTACCGACCAACCTCATCCCGCCCCCTTGACCTGTCCGTCCTCCCTGGACTGACCTATCCCCTTCCTAACTCCCTACCTACACTCACCTTTACTGGCTCCATCCCCGCCTCTTCGACCTGTTTGTTTCCTCTCCACCTATCCTCTCCTCTATCCCTCTTCTATCCGCCTCCCCCTCTCTCCCTATTTATTTCAGAATCCCCTTCCCCGATGAAGGGTCTAGGCCCGAAACGTCAGCCTCTCTGCTCCTATGATGCTGCTTGGCCTGCTGTGTTCATCCAGCCCTGCACCTTGTTGTCTCAGAAGATCAGGCAGAGGTGTTTAGTTCTGAAAGATTAATAGAATTACAACAAAAGTACGAGAAGATAAAGGTTTTATATCATAAAGCCCACTTGGAAAAGGAATCAAAAGTATTCCAGAATGTTATTCCCTTAAGGATAAAATCTTAAGGTGGAAATGGAGACCTTGGCAGATTAGTGCACATAAGGATGGTCACTGCTCAGTTAAGCCCAGTTTAGGTTCCACCAGGGCCACTCAGCTCCTGACCTCATTACAGCCTTGTTTCAAACATGTACAAAAGAACTGAATTCCAGAGGTGAAGTGAGAGTGACAGCTCTTGACATCAAGGCTGTATTCGACCAAATGTGGTATCAAGGAGCTCTAGCAAAACTGGAATCAATAGGTATCGGGGGCAAAATCCCCAGTGGTTGGAGTCATACCTGACACGGAGGAAGATGGTCGTGGTTGTTGATGGTCAATCATCTCAGCTCCAGGACATCTCTGCAGGAGTTCCTCAGGGTAGTGTCTCAGGCCCAACCATCTTCAGCTGCTTCATCAATGACCTTCCCTCCATCATAAGATCAGAAGTGGGGACATTCGCCAATGATTGCACAACGGTCAGCACCATACGTCACTCCTCAGATACTGAAGCA